GTTTAGGGTTTAGGGTTTAGGGTTTAGGGTTTAGGGTTACTCCTATAAGGTAAACGGGCCTTATGGGAGTCCTTATGGGAGTACTATGGAAACTACCCACCTTGTAATTACCCACCTGTAAAGGGCTTCTACCAAGGTGCATCGTCAACGACTACATTGGTGGTCACTTAGCGTTCTTTGGGTTGGCTCTTAGGACTTCAACTTTGTGGGTTTCTATATGAACTATACCAAGGAAGCTAAAAGTTTAACTTTTAGGTTTCTATATGAACTATACTAAGGAGGCTAAAGGTTTAACTGCTAGGAGGGGTTCAGAAGTCAGCCAAGGTCAAGGCATCAAGGCCCACCGAGATCGGGAGTTTTTCGGCGAGGCCGAGGGGGATTTGTTGGGGCTTGTAGGGGGTTGTTCGGAAGGTCTCTGAGGGTCTAGGGTTTAGGGCCTAAAGTTTAGGGTTTAGGGTTTTGGGTTTGGGGTTTGTTGGGGCTTGTAGGGGGTTGTTAGGAAGGTTTCTGAGATTTGTTTGGCTTTAGGGCTGTGGGTTTTTTTGGGGGTTTAATGTTCGTTTCGTTTGGCGGAAGGGGATTCGGGTTGTGCGTTTGGGGAATCGGGCGTAGGGCTTCGGTACGGTGGACTTTACAAAAGGGTTTAGGGTTTACGGAACCTCAGAACTACCTGAAAGCACCACAGAAAGCCCTCTGATGCAATGGGGTTCAGGCTTACGGACTGTGCTCAAAGCATGCCGGCAGCTTATCGTGAGGTTGGCGGGGCTGTTTTGGTCTCAGCATCTTCGATTATCAGCCCAATATCCCTTGATTAACTATTGTAGGGGATCCCTACATATCTTTAGGTATATTCCTTAATTAAGGGAGTTTGGAAGATCCGGGAGTCTGACTCCAGACTCAACAGTTTGGGCCCGTAGTTCTTGACCTCACGACTCGCAGCCCAAGCAAGACACAAAACTTTGCACCTCAACCCTACAGGGTTTAGGTTTTAGGGTTTAGGGTTTAGGGTTACAGGGTTTAGGGTTTAGGGTTTAGGGTTTAGGGTTTAGGGTTGAGGTTTTCCCTAAACCCTAAATCCTGAACCCATTTCCTTACATTGAAGCGGTCAAGAAGAGAAAACTAAAACCACGTTTAAACGACCTGGAGCACAGCAGCTTTCCCCAGCCTGAAATGTTTCGTTAAGGCGACCCCGTCAGCCCTTTAGGGTTTAGGGGTTTAGGATTTAGGGTCCCTAAACCCTAAACCCTACTTCTCTCAGTCGCCATGGAGGCGGTAGTGGGCTTCTCCCTGCGCAGCCCGACCATCATGGACTTCCGGTGCCTTCGAAGCGGGGAAGTCCGCGCAGTGCTCTTGGAGCCACGGTCGGTTCTCATTCTGACGGCGGAGCTTCGGTATGCACGTGGCTTGAGTTTTTTTTTGTACGCATGTCTTTTGAACCTCACCATCGTTGGAGCCACGTTATTGCTACTATTATTGATAGTGCTATTATGATGAACATCCTTATCGTTAGCATAGTCATTTGTTTTCTTGTGATAGTTTGTTGAAACTGCCTTAACGTGAGGCCTTGTAGCAGCTTTCGGCTTCGGGCTTCGGGTTTTGGGTTTAGGGTTTTTAGGTGTTGCACCTCTTTAGACATGAAGTTTCGGTCCTAATCTCAAGCCCGGATTTGAGTGAGTTGGGCTTATTCCCCGGTCATGGGTCAGGAGGCGTCGGCCCCAGGCTTGAGGGCGACTGGCCAACCCTGAAAAGATGTAATAAAGGGGCCTTAATAATTATCTATACTATTTGGGGTTCCTTACAATAACTATAGTATAATGGGACCCAAAACCCTATTCCAATTACTAAGGCCCCTATATTAGGTGTGATGGTTCCATTGTCACGAATGGTACATGTGACCTGCCCTAGACCGGTGCGTAGATCATTATGAACGTATCTCCTTGTTCCCTAGACCCTAAACCCTAAACCCTAAACTTTAAACCCTTCACCCTTAACCCTAAACCCGAAATCCTAAACCCGAAACCCTAGACCCTAAACCCTAAAACCCTAAACCCTAAACCCTAAAGCCTTATGGACGTATCTCCCTGTCTGCCACAGCCCTTCAGTGCCGGTGCTAACAGGCCGAAGCTGCAAACTGTGCTGAGCTCAAGCTCGCTGCGCACAAGCTCTAGGGTTTAGGGCTTAGGCTTTAGGGTTGAGGG